ATCGCCATCCCGGCACTGCTGGCTCCTCTCTCCTCGGCACTGCTGGCTCCTCTCCGTCCCGGCAGGGCTGGTTCCTCTCTCCATCCCGGCAGGGCTGGCTCATTCTCATCCCGCCAGGGCCGGTTCATCCCCATCCCGGCAGGGCTGGTTCCTCTCTCCATCCCGGCACGGCTGGCTCCTCTCCATCCCGGCAGGGCTGGCTCATCCCTCCATCCCGGCACGGCTGGCTCATCCCCATCCCGGCAGGGCTGGTTCCTCTCTCCATCCCAGCACTGCTGGCTCCTCTCCATCCCGGCAGGGCTGGCTCCTCTCTCCATCCCTTCAGAGCTGGTTCTCATCTCCATCCCGGCAGGGCTGGTTCCTCTCTCCATCCCAGCACTGCTGGCTCCTCTCCATCCCGGCAGGGCTGGCTCATCCCCATCCCGGCAGGGCTGGTTCCTCTCTCCATCCCGGCAGGGCTGGCTCCCGCAGCTCCCCTCCAGCCGTCTCGGTGCTTACACAACCCAATCCCGCAGGGCACCGAGCCCTGGGCTTGCACAAACACCCTGGTGTGCCAACAGCGAGCTGGGCTCACCTGCGTAACCAGGAGGGAGCTGCTCCATGCTGTGAGCCCCAGCTGAGGCAGGGTTATGTGGTTTATGCAGCTCCAGCTCCCAGGCTGCTGTCACAGCTCTCACACCGAGTGTCGCACCTAAAATTTGGCTCTTTGTCAGCCACGCTGTAGGATAGGGCCATAACCCAGTACAGAATGGTTTGGGTGAGAAGGGATCTTAAAGCTCATTTAGTTCCACTCCCCTGCCATGGCAGGAACACCTTCCACTGTCCCAGGCTGCTCCAAGCCCTGTCCAGCCTGGCCTTGGGCACTGCCAGGGATCCAGGGGCAGCCACAGCTGCTCTGGGAATTCTATCCCAGCTCCTCCCCACCCTCCCAGGGAACAAAACATGTCTGTTTATCAGGCTGGACGTGCTGCAGGGGAGGGCACAGTCCCCCTACAGCCCCTGTCACCAGGTGCCACACCTTGTGCACCCACAGTCTCAGGCTGGAGCTGGAGAGACAGGAGAACTCTGCTGAGCTTCCCAAGAAAAGTCTCTGAGGTGACTCCTGCTGCCCAGCAGAGCTGGGAGAAGCACTGAGGGACCTGCAGTGAGCCCAGGGCTCAGCAGCTCCTTCTGTCACTGTCACAGCACAGCCAGTCCTGGCCAGGGGGATGGATCCACAGCATGGCCCAGCTCCAGCTCCCCTCGGGCTGAGCTGGTCCTGCCAGGCTGAATTAAAGAATAAGTGAGGTTGGAAGCCACACAAGGGGGTCTCTGGTCTCATCCCACTCTCAGAACTGAGTTCCCTTTGTGTTAGATCAGGACCTCACAGCCCAGCCTGTCCCAGAGGGGCACAGGGGGAAATGCAGGGAGCTGTGGAGTGGGACCTGCCTGTCCTCCCAGGAAAATAGAACCAGTCAGAGAAGGGATGACACAGAGAAAGTGTCCTTCCAGAGCAGAACAAACTAGGGAGGGATTTGGTGACAGCCAAGGTAACAGTGGGTGCAAGGCCATGGGATCACCCCAGGGCAGGGCAGTGACCATGGCAGAGGCACCCACAGTCCCAAGCCTGGTCACTCTGATGCCTTGGGTTTTAGGCTTTTCTGTTCTGTTTTGGTGTGCAGCTTTTAGCTTTATATTAAGGATAGATATAGGATATATAGGATATATATATATATTTAATGGACTAAACCTTATAAAAATGAGAGATCTTGTGACCAAGCCCTTTTTGCTTCCATCTTGGAGCCCCCTGGGCAGAGCCACGGCTGTGCCTCCAGCACTGCCAGGGTGTGGCCTTGCAAGGCACGGCAATAAATCCACTTTATTACTCTCAACTCCCTCTAGCCTCTCTTCCAGCTCCTCAAGGCATCACCCCCATGCCAGGGGAGCCCTGCAGGAGCAGGGATGCCTCCTGTGGGATGAAGCCTTGCAGAACCCTTGAGCTGTGGGATCCTTCCAGCCCTTACAGACCTGCAGATCGTGTCCAGGCTCTGGCTCCTTGGGAGCTCCAGGAGATCTGCTGGGCAGAGATTTTGGGCCCTTTTCCCCTTCCTGTAGGTTCTTTACTCAGGGAAACGTGGCCCAGGTGGTGTGGCCCAGATGCAGCTCCTTCCTCCATGGCCAGGGAATGAAGAGTCCCTAACCCTGACAGGACTGAACTCGTCCTCTGCATTTACATTTTGGAGAAAGCCACTGCCCACCGAGGTCACAAATCCCACAGGAGGAGGCCAGGAATTCACCTGTTAGTTCAGTTCATTTGGGACCAATATTATAAGTGTTTGAGTTCAGAAAGATTTGCAGGACTGCACAGGAACAGATTAATTTAAAGTAATTTTTCCTTTTAAATTAAGCTATGATGTAAGAGTAGGAAACACAATATTGATAATTGTGATAAACAGAAGTGTAAAGCTGTGGATGTCCCATCCCTGGAAGTGTCCAAGACCAGGCTGAACAGGGGTAGGACTGGATGAACTTTAAGGTTCCTTCCAACCCAAACCATTCCATGATTCCATGAAAGACTCTGAGTAGTCAGACATGGAATATCCCAAACATTTCCCAGCCTGGGAGGATGCAGAAGGTGAGAGAAGAGCAGCAATGGAGCAGCTGGATTGAGACCATGCACTGATGTTGCTCCACTGAAGTCAGACAGAGCTAAAATATTCCAGCAGTTTCCCAGTGGAGACTGTCCCAACCCTTCAGCTGCCTGCAGTCTTCATTGAAGGCCCTCACAGGAACCAAGATGGGAAAGTTGGCTTGGATGGTGTCCCTTTAAACCTCCCTCAGCACTGGAAAACAAGGCTGCATCCAGGCTGGTGGTTTTCCATGTGTCTCTCTCCCACGTGGGACCCAACCTGCTCACCTGGGAAATGTTTGTAACTCCTCACCCTGCAAACATTTCCTACAGTGGTGGGGTCAGGCAAACACCTCTGTGCTTGGGTGCCTTCAGCACACCTGAGCTGACATCACCCAGCCCACTGTTTCTGAAAACATGATGGGTTTGGTCCCAATCCTGCTTGTTCTGAGCCCATCTTGTGTTAGCCCAAGACTGAGGCAGGGCAGGACGTGACCAGCACATCCTGCACTGCGCCCAGCTCAGAAGGAATTCATTGCTGGAAACTTGGCAAGAAAAGTGGGCTTTGGAGTCGGGGGTTTCAGATAAGCTGGAGATTAGGGTTTGCATGGAATCATCCTGCTTGAGGACCCTCCATGGAGCTGCTCCTTCGGGAAGAGGAGCCCGGGCTGCCCCTGGACCAGGATTCCATGGAATGGTGAGAACAGCTGCTCCTCCCCAGCAGTCCCTGGGTGGCCTGGAACCACGGGTGATAAGAGAGCCTCTCATGTTTCAGGTTGGAGGAACAGACACTGTTTATGTCGAGCAGCACCACCTTCCTCCCCTCAGGGCTCCTCTTCAGCCTCCCGGCGGCTGCTCAGGCCCGGCTTATCGGGGCCTCCCGGTGCCAAAGGAAACAGCTCAGCCCCCCAGCCTTATCCGGGCCGAGCTGATTTGCAGGAGATGACAGCACCTTTCCCATTCCCCGCGCGGGGAATGCAGCTGGAGCCGCCCCAAAGAGGCGCCGGGAGGTTTTTGGGATCTCGGGAGGAGGAGGGGAGCAGAGGGTGCTGCCCTGGGGCCAAGCAGGAACAGAGGGAGGCTGAGGATGGAGCAACTGGAGCACTCAGCACGTTCCATATATGGAGAAACTTTGGGAACAACCTCCCGAGGGCTGCGGGAAGCCTCACTGATGGAGGCATCTTGGAGCAGTCCCGGCAAGGCTGGTCCCAAGTGGGGGAAATTCCCGGTGCTGGGAATCACCTGGGTGTCCCACAGAGCGTTTCCCCTTCCACCTGAGGGAACAGAGGCTCCCCAAAGCCCTCCCTGCCATGCCCAGCATCCCACCCTGGCACCACTGGGCGCTGCAAGGGAGGATAAAACCAGAAGGAGCACGACCAGAAGCAGAGCTCTGCTGGCCTCCAGCGCCGGGGATGTTGGCAGGAATTGCAGCATGAACACAAATGCCCCCCGAGGTTTGCATCTTGACCACAAAAAAGTCCCCAGAAATGGGCCTCGCTGTGAAATTTTACATTTACCTGCTCCCAGCACAGCTCCACACTTCCCCCTGGGTTGGTTCTTCCCCTCTGGAAGATATTTGCCAAGGTTGTTTTATAAACTCCTTTCTATTTATAGCCCAGCTCCTTCAGCTCTAATGAGATAATCTTCTGGCATCTCACCACCACTAATATTTACTTTGATGTTTAAAATAACATCTTCTGAGGGATCGATTTTTTAAAAAAAGTAATTTAAAAAGCACCTTTAAATCATAATCAAAGCAAAGAAAGAACTGAGCAGAGCAGTGGGGCCGAGCTCCTGGGGATGCACAAAGTCAGTGACACTGCAACTTTTTCAGGGCAGACTTTTATAATCCTCTGAGCACATCAGGAGGGAGAGAGGCATTGGCAGCTCCTGAAGATGGAGAGAGAGACAGGGAAAGAGGGAGAGGGAGCGCGGGCTGTGTTTATTCTCAGGAATGAAGGCAGCAAGGAACGTTTCATTCTGCAGCAGGGCTTGGAGCTGCTGCTCTCTGTAACTGAGAGCTTCGCCCCGGGCAGCTCAGCAGAGCAGATTTGGGGTTTAGAGAGGCAAACATTCGATCCCGGGGTTAACACAATTAAAAAGAGGGGCTGGGGGAGGCGAGGGAGGCAGCACCAGAGCCCGGCTCCCGCTGCCTGCAGCCACTTTGAAACACAAGCCTGCTTTTTTTATGGAAACTCTGAATGTTGGAGAAGGGTGAACATGGTTTTCATTCTCATAAATGTTTTTCCAGCGTGCAAGGCTCTCCGGGCTCATTCCTTCTCCAGGGAGACGGTTCTGATTTCAAAGAACATTCGCGTTCCCTCCACCCCAGACCACCCCACTCCAACCTCAAAGAGTCTCCTCTGGAAAATTATTTTAAAGAGCGTTTTACCTTTTTGAGTGCTTTCCCTTCTTTCTTCTTCTTTTTTTTTTCTCCCCTCCTTTTAATTCCTTCAGCTTCTCTTTTTTTTTTTTTTTTTTTCCTCTTCTTTTTCCCAGCAGCAGCCAAAAGCTCCTCTCTCCCCTCAGCCCTGCTTGTGTCAGAAAGTTTCCAGGCTGAGGGTTTGTCTTGCCTTCCTTAAGAAACTTCTTCTGTCAGACCCAGGCAGAGCTGGAGTTGGAGGCTTTGCTAAAAAGTCTCCTTTCAGGAAGTGAGCAGTAATAAGAGAGTGGCTCGGAGGCAGCACATGGATAGGGGCTGCTCGAGAAAAAAAAAAAAATAATCAAAAAAAAAAAAAAAAAAAAAAAAAAAAAAAAAGAAAAAAAGAAAAAAAAAAGAAAATCCCCAAACCCACAAAGCTGGAAAAGTCCCGCCCTGAGTGCTGACATCAGTGCAGAAGGCAGGTCTTGGCTGGAGCAGTATAAAACTAGTCAGCCTTTCTGTGGAGGAGCAGGGAGGGAGCTTGGGGCAGCCCTGGAGGCGATGCTGGGGCTCCCCTGTGGATAAAACATCCCAGGAAAAGCCAGAAGGGAAAGAGGCCGTGCTGCTGGTGGCACACAAAGCAGATAAAGCAAGCCTGCCTTGGCTTTGGTTTGGTGTTTTTTTATCCCCCCCAACAACAAACAACACCCCCACGGTGCATTTTAACCGGAGCTTTCCCAGTGCTTTTAAAAACGCGGGGAGAGCGTGAGGAAACGGCCTGAAAGGCTGCACAGCAATGGCAGGGACTGGCCGGGAATCGAAAAAAAGCCCTCAAGAACTCGCCAGTGCTTTCAGAAGCGCCTTCCCCCTGCAGTTACATCATTCCTGCCCCGCTGGCTGCGGGACCGCGGCATGCTCCTGCCCTCTGCCACCGTGGAGTGTCCCCCCGAGCACAGAATAACCCCGGGAAGAACCAAAGAACCCCCTCGCAGGACACCTCAGCAACAAACGGCAGGAGCTCGTGTCCTCCTTCCTTCTGAAGGCGGCTCTGGGATTTCAGAGCCGAGTTTGTGAGCCTTGGTGGAGAGAGAATTACCTGGCAGTGCTGCAAACGCTGGAAAAATGAGCCTTTTCCGAGCTGCCCTGCTTTTCCCTGGGAAGAGAGAGGGGCCCTGGGGAAGGACACAGGGGAAGGATGGAAGCACCAGGGTGAGGATGGACCCCCAGCCTGAGCCCTTGGTGGGGACAGAGCAACCCCAAAACCACCTTGGCATTGCCTTTTCCTCCAGGAGGATTTGAATGAAGAGTTAAGGGGTGAAAGGTTGCCAGAAAAAATGTTACATATATATATATATATATATATACCTCCATGGAAAACATTATAAGGAAACATTATAGAAATAAGAATACTATATATATATATATACACACATAAAAAATATATTAAACACATATTAAATATTAAATATAATAAAATAACACTTTAAGTATATATTACATATATAGATTCTTATATTAAACATTAATTAAATTTATAGATTAAATAAAATATTAAATATATATTAAATAAATGTATAACATATTATATTAAATATATATTAAAATATATATGTATTAAAACAAACTCCTTGAACCTGAGACCCCAGGATAGGATTGCAGGGGGACATTGGGAGAGCAAGACAGGATTTGCATCCCTGGGCAGTTGGTGTGGATGCCAAGTGCAGGACAGTCCTGGCAGCCTCGTGTCCTGCCCTGACCTTTGCAGGCACAGCTGGTGCCAAAGCCATGGGACACAGCCCTGGGCAGCCAGAGCTCCTGGCCACGGTCCCTGGTGCCACCCAGGCTGCCCCAGCAGCCACCAGACCATGAGATGGGCATGGAGAAAGAAAAAAGCCTCAAAGGCCTGGCCAGCCCCGTGTCCTGATGGGATGCTGGCCCAAAAAAAAAAAAAAAAAAAAAAAAAAAAAGGATGAAGGGAAAAAGCAAGGAAGTTGTGGTACTTTTTGTGGTGGATCTCGCTAAATCGTCTGCTATCAGCAAAGCAGGATGAACCTGACCTGGAGCTGCACCAGCCCTAATTCATGTTCTGCCATAAATTTGTTTTTTGGAGCCCTCTGAACTCCCCTCCTGGGAAGGAGCAGCAGCAGGAGATGCCCAGGAGGGACCTCCTGAGTCTCCCTGAGCTGCCTGGAAGGTTTGCTGATCCAAATAGCCCAGGAAAAAACAGGATAAACATCCTTTGCTCTCAGGAGGAGCTGGCTGAGGGTGGGAGATCACAGCCCCCAGCTCCACTCCAGCCACTCTCTCTGTGCAGACTGGAAAGGGCTGGCTCTGCACTGGAAAAAAAGAGTTCAAAAGGGACTGGGATTGATTGCTGGGCTGGATTTTGGGCCAGTTCCCTGGCTGGGTGGACAGAGTGGTTTCCTTCCTCCCCAGGCCACGCTGGCCATTGTCTGAGCCCCCAGAGCACACCCAGAAAAGAGCAACTGAACAAAATATTTGGGGTTTAATTGAATGGTGCTGCTGCTGGCCAAGGAAAAACTAATTGCTGCAAGTGTGGCCTGGTGCCATTCCAGGGGTGTTCTGTCTGCTGGAACTTGTCTCAAACACACTCAGTGTGGAATGAACAGGGACAGAGGGGCAGATTTCCTTCCCCAGAGAGTGGGTCTGTTCTGCCAGACCTTTGGAAAACTTGTTTTCCCCTGATTCACAGGGTTTCCAGTCCCTCCTGGGTGGTAAATACAGAGTCAGACTCTCCTGACTTGCAAGGAAAATTCCCCCAGCCCTGTACCCAACCCAGCAGTGCTCTGAGCACCCTCAGATTTGTACCAGACCAGCTCCAAAAATGGGCTTTACTCCAGTTCTAACCTGTCTCTGAGGAGGGGATGGAGCAGCACAACCCTGACAAGACAAGACCTCCATCACCTGCACAAATCCTGGAAAACTAATGCTGAAACAACCAGAGGCTCTCAGCAAAGAGGAGGAGGTGATAAACAGCATAAAGAATAGAAATTTTCAGTCCCCGAGGTTGCTAGAAAGTTTATTTTTCAGATTAGTTTGGTATCAGAAAAATCTGAAAATCTGCATGAAAAAATGGTTTCACGGGGCAACCAACAACCCCCCCATTAAATCTCCAAAATCACCCGGCTGCTTCCTCTCCCTAGGATGAGGAGACGAGGCTGAATTTCCATCAGAGATTTGCAATCCTCGCTGTCCGGGGGGATGGAGAGGAGCCGGGAGCAGCTCAGTGGCACTGCACCCTCCTGTGGCTGCAGGGAGCGGCCGGGGCTGCCGGGATCCCGAAACAACGGCGGGAGGATGGAAACACCTCGGGGTGCTGGAAACACCTCGGGATGGATGGAAACACCTCGGGATGGTGGAACACCTCGGGGTGATGGAAACACCTCGGGATGGATGGAAAGACCTTGGGATGGATGGAAACACCTCGGGATGGATAGAAACACCTCGGGGTGGTGGAACACCTTGGGATGATGGAACACCTCGGGATGGATGGAAACACCTTGGGGTGGTGGAACACCTCGGGATGGATGGAAACACCTCGGGGTGGTGCAAACACTTCCAGGATGACGAAAACCTGCTTGGGATGATGAAAACCCTGCTGGGATCCTGAAACCCCCTGGGATGATGGGCACCCCCTTGGGATGCTGCAAACCCTGCCAGGATGATGGAACTACTTCCAGGATGATGGAAACCTCCCCAGGATGATGGAAACCCTGCCAGAATCCTGAAACCTCATAGGATGATGGAACCCCTTGGGATGATGGAAACCCCATAGGATGATGGAAGACCCACGGGATCCTGAAACCCCTTGGGATGATGGAAACACTTCCAGGATGATGGAAACATTTCCAGGATGACAGAAACCCCTCGGGATGATGGAAACAATGGCAGGATCCTGAAGCCCCCTGAGATGCTGGAATCCCCTTGGGATGATGGAAACCCTTGTGGGAGGATGGAAACACTTCTAGGATGATGGAAACCCCTCGGGATGATGGAAACCTGATTGGGATCCTGGAAGCAACAGCAGGATCCTGAAACCCCTCCAGATGCTGGAAACCCCTTGGGATGATGGAAACAGCAGCAGGATGATGGAAAACCCCTCATGATGATGGACTGAACCCCCCCAGGATGATGGATTGAATCCACCTGGGATGCTGGAAACCCTGTCAGGATGATGGAACCACTTCCAGGATGATGGAACCACTTCCAGGATGATGGAACCATTTCCAGGATGATGGAAATCCCGGCAGGATCCTGAACCCTGTGGGATGATGGAAACCCTGCCAGGATCCTGAAACCCCTCGGGATGATGGATCCCCTTGGGATGATGGAAACCACCCAGGAGGATGATGGAAACACTTCCAGGATGATGTAAAGCCCCTCAGGATCATGGAAACCCTGCCTGGGATGATGGATTGAACCCCCCAGGATGATGGAAACACTGGTGGGATCCTGCAAGCACTGTTGAGATGATGGAAACCCTGGGAGGATGATGGAAACACTTCCAGAATGATGGAAACCCCCTCAAAATGACGGACTGAACCTTCCCAGGATGATGGAAACCCCTTTGGGATGATGGAAACCCTGCTGGAATGATGGAATGAACCCTCCAGGATGATGGAAACCCCCCAGGATGCTGCAAATCCTGCTGGGATGATGGAACCCCCCCAGAATGATGGAAACCCCTCAGGATGATGAAACCCCCCCAGGATGCTGGAAACCCCTCCGGGATGCTGGCCTGAACCCCAGGGAAGCACAAAGGCTGACACTTCCAGGCCAATTTGGCACTGCCCAGCATTGCTGGATGGTGCCCAACGCGTCCAACCCGCACCACACCAAGGCCAGGGCTCGTCTGAAGGCTTGAAAATGCTGCAGACTCCATCCTCATTGCCATTAGGACACACAGGGAACGCTGCTGAGGCCTGACAGGGTAATTCTGTGTAAGCATTTTGTACATAAAATGAAATATTCTCCCTGCCTTGCTATGTCTGAACTGCAGGGCCTGGGCAGAGTTCCCAGCTCTGGCTCTACATCACAGCCTGGCCCCAAGTCCGTGTTGGGACAAGCTCCTTGGCCACAGACTCACCCTTTTTATGGCTGTTCAGCACCCAACACAACAAAGCTCCATTCAGCCCTTCAGCTACTGCAGCAATAAACAAAGTGCTCGGCTTTGTTTGGAGCCCAGAGGCTGCAGGTTGGGAACCTGCGAGTGAAACAAG